CACGATATAACATTTATACCTGTTTTATAAATTTCTCGCTTAAATGTAGCGCAATATTTTCTTGTTTCTTTTTTTATATTATCCCATAAATATTTTAAATTTTTTCTGTTCGTTGTATCGTATTACGTGCATTAAATTCCTTTGTAACATTTGCCCACGTTTCATCTTTTTTTAAAATTATATTGGGCTTGTTCGTTTTAGCTGCACTGGGGCAGCTCTGGGTCTGCTCTAAACAAGATAATACAGGACAAACTATTTATCTGTTCTGTATTATCCTGTGTAGAGCAGACCCAGAGCAGCCCCAGTGTAGCTAAAACGAACAAGCCCATTATTATTGCATTCTTTATTTTCTATTATGTGTCGATATAAAAAAATAATGTCTAATAAACTATTTTTATCACTAGTTGTGAAGTTTCTTGATCGTTGCATTGTTATCTATTTTTAATTGTTAATATATTTATATACTCTTTCACTTTTATATCACTTTCTTTTTATTGTGTATTTAACGTGCCGTCACCGTGCTAAAAGATTACAGGTTAGGATCAGTTAGAATCGATGACGTGTATTTTAGTTACAAGTTTCGAAGTTGGCTATTCTGAAAAGTTAACGGACGGTTAGGCTTAACCGACGTTGGAAAAAGTGGCCCTCAGTCGGTTAAAGTTAACCGACGTTGGAAAAAGTGGCCCACAAGGAGATAAAACACACGTAACGTTACGGACGCAATCCCTAGTAACTTTTGCGGACTTTCGGTGCTGATTAGGCCGGCGTCACATAGAACCCGTAATCCGTAATCCGCACCGGAAGTCCGCAAAAGTTACTAAGGATTGCGTCCGTAACGTTACGTGTGTTTTATCTCCTTGTGTCCCATGGAGCCGTAATTCCATGAAATTTCCGTAAAAGTTACTAAAAGTTACTAGTTATTACTAGTAATGTCTTTTTTTTAATTTTATTTATTTAACTAAATTTGACGATTTAATTAAAATTTTTGTTAAAATTATAATATATTCTGTAGTTTTCTTATGAATAAAATACAAATAAATAATTATAATCTGTTAAATAAAAAATAGTAATACCGTTACGTGTGTATTTACGGCTCCATGGGACACAAGGAGAAAAAACACACGTAACGTTACGGACGCAATCCTTAGTAACTTTTGCGGACTTCCGGTGCGGATTACGGATTACGGGTTCTATGTGACGCCGGCCTGAAATAATTCTCACATCTATCAGACGTACTACTCACGTCCATATATGATCCGTTCAAGACGGATCTATGACGTACTTGAAATAGACATCTATAAAATATCCGTAATCGAATATCCACTAATCGTTCATGAACGTATATTCATAGGATATAATTTATATGTCCATGGACGTGAAGACTTAAAATGGATATAAACTGTATGTCCATAGGATGTTTTGATTGGGAATATACATGGAAACTATAATAAAAGAAGTAATATAACAAAAGAAACACATTTATTAATAGGAAAATAAAATAAATATATATTTTAATAAAAAATAAAAAATAAAATAAATGTTTATTATACACACTCACGTACATTATACTTATATTTATTTATTATACTTATTACTTTATTACACTTATTATATTTATTATTAGGTGTGCACACACACACACACACACACACACACACACAAGTTAAGTTCGATGCTTTTTATCATAAAATTCAAAGTTTATTCACAAAAAGTTAAGTACAAGTTTAATGTTCGAAATAATTTCCATTATTTTCGATGACTTTGTTCCATCTATCGGGCAGCTGACGAATGCCTTCGCGGAAAAAACTTGGCTATTTTAACTCGATAAAGTCATCAAAACTTTCTCGGACATCTTCGACTATTTTAAAATGCATATCAGCCAGGTGATGTTGGAACGACCGAAATAGATGATAATTGAACGGGGCTAGATTTGGTGAATAAGCTGCATGAGAGAGAATTTCCCAGCTCAATGTATAGATGACATCCTTCGTCCTCTTTGCGGCATATGGTTGAGCGTTGTTGTGCTGCAAAATTATTTGTCTAGTTCCGTAGCCCGTATACGGTCTCTTTTGCTCCAATGCATCGCTCAAACGGATAAGTTGGTAATACTCTGCAGTAAATGCCATTCTACAATGAGATGCAAATACCCCGTTGCCAATTGTGAAGGATGGCAACTACTAATGGAAAAATGCTATTTCTGGTTGCGCTTGGCCATTGCAGTTGCCAAAAGAGAGTTGGTCAACTTTTAACTTAATAGTCTGGCCAGGATTTCCAGCAACTCATAGTATGCTACACCCTTTATATCCCATCAGATACACAGCAAAATCTTGTTGGCATGAATATTGAGCTTCGGAGTCGATGTCGACGGTTGACCGGGACTTACTCCCGATTTTCTGCGTTTAGGGTTATCATACAATATCCATTTTTTCGTCACCCGTAATGATTTTGTGCAAAAAATCATCTTTTCTTTTAAACCGGATCAGCAAAGACATAGCTGTGTCAAATCTTCGCTCTTTGTTTTCCGAGTTAAGATTATGCGAAATCTATCCATTTTATGAATTTTTCCGAGCTGATGTAGGCGCAAAGATGTGCATTGGTGGGTAACTCCAAGTTGTAATGCCAGCTCCTTTTGAGTTTGAGCAGAGTTTTCATTTAATAGTTGATCGAGTTCCTCGTCTTCAAACTTTTTTTGGTTGGCCTGGACGGTCTCGATCCGAAAGATCAAAATTTCCATTTCAAAACTTCTGTACCATTTGGTACCATTTTTTGCACGTTATATACGTCACAGCGCCTTCACCCAGAGCGGAACAAATCATTTCCGTGGCGATGTTGGAACGACCGAAATAGGTGATAATTAGACGGGACTAGATCTGGTGAATAAGCTGCATGAGGGAGAATTTCCCAGCCCAATGTATAGATGACATCCTTCGTCCTCTTTGTGGCATATGGTCGAGTGTTGTCGTATTGCAAAATTATTTGTCTAGTTCCGTAGCCAGAAGGCACTGCCTTCAGCAGCATTTTTTAAAATTGAAACATGAAGATAATGCAGTGTCTCAAATGTTGCTTTTCGAACGCCATTGTTTACTGCTGTTTTATAAGATTATATCGCCTGCTTCAAAGCATAGAGTATTAGTATAGTTGAAAATATAGGGATAAACATTTGCAAATCGCAAAAGAGCGGAAAAATGTTTAATTTTAAAATAAATTCATAAAGCATTCAATGTAAAAGCACCGAATTAATTTTCACACCTAATACATACTTATTATTATTGTACTTCACTCTCTATAAAATAATATCTGTTTTGTTAATTGATGTCTTTTTCGTACAGGTTTTAAGATCTCTTGTAAATAAAACTTAGAAATAGAGTGCAGCCTAATTTTAATAAATTTAGAACTTATTGTAATTATAAGTCTAATTTTATGTGGCACACCCGACAAAAACAGTTACGTCATATCCATGTCGAATCCACGTAATTTACGTGGATTCGACTACGTAGATGTAGATTTAACCATTTAACCACACGAATTATTCATATGGATGCAACGTTCTTTTTTCATCACTATATCGAAGTACTTTAATCTCGAAATATCAATGTTGATTTCATGTGGAAATTTCTACTAAAAATAATAATTGATCAATCGAGGTAATCGTTGTGTTTACTTGTGAATTGAACAAGACAATATTATTCTATATCCAGTGAAAAATATAGGTCGAAAAAACGTCTAATAGACATCTTATAGACGCCTATAAACGTTTATTAGATCAATAATAAAACAACGTTTATTATTCACTCAAATATCCATGTGGATTCCACGATACTGATCCACATGGCAATGACGTGGATTTTACGTACTGTTTTTGTCGGGCATCTAAAACATTATCTACAGACATCTATGGCCGGTATTCATAGTTTTTTCTTATATTTAAGACTGTTTTAAGTATTGTCTTGAAATGCTACGAACCAATCAAAAAGTCATTAGTATCTTAAGATGACGATAATGACGACTTAAGAAGATCTTAAATATAAGAAGCGACTATGAATACTGGCCTATATGTATTACGACGTATTTTGCCGCCTATAGATGAAAACGCGAAGCGTTTGATGATTGGACGCGAGTAAATGAGAGCTACCGCCGCTACGGGCCGAAGCATGATGTAAGAAGATAGGTGTACCATTGCCGTGAATGCGCAGTCGTCCAAAGTAATGATCGCTCTTCGACCAATCAGGAATTGGTCCAAAATGCTAAAAAGTAATATGGCTGCCAAAATATGTTGACACGGTTGACACCGAAGGTTATTAAATATAATAATATTAAAAGATATTTAAAAACTATGCCAACGTGTTGTGTAAAGAATTGTATAAGTCGTACTGATCATACGAGATATCATAAGAGATATTAAATATATGTATTCACACATTTGTGTTGGAAACACTTAATTTTCTATATAATATTTATTAATTGATATTATTTATTATTGTGGGTAATTGTCATTTATTGCTACTGTATTTTATATTGCAAATTTATTATTTTCATAAGATATTTTTATAAATTTTAATTACATTTTAATAATATGATAATTCTATATTAGAATTTCGCGGATGCATTTTGGACCACGTTTGATTGGCTGTCCTATCATGCTGACGTCATACGGCTGCCATTATGCGCAATGGTACACCTATCTTCTTACATCATGGGCCGAAGTACGCGAAAACGCGACACGAAGGAGGGCGCCAGACGCAGAAGCGTCCACGGACTTGAAGGACGGAGCATTATGGGATATTATGGACGCGGGGAGTGAAGCACTGGTGCGGGGGGATTTGACTTCTAAACCACCTTCAGCCATATTTATATGGGCCATTAGTGCTGCTATCTATTTGATGATCGTGGTGGTTTAACATATCCTTCAAGTAGTGTAATAAAAATATGCCTTGAAACGGAAAAGGCTATCAGATTTACCATAAAAGAAAATAATATAACTTCAAATTCGAAATATTCCGTTCACTGTATTACACAAACTGTACTTTCAAATTTAAATATGATAAATATATTTAAAGAATTATTAACACATTCAAATGATCAAAACTTCTTAATATGTCATAGAATTAATTTAATTAAAAGTGTTATAATAAAATACGTAAAAACACGGTACTTTTATATTGCAAAACAAACTGATAATAATGTAAGCAAAAGACAATATTTTAATAAATTAATATTATTTGCAGGACAGTAAATTATGTTTATTTTTGTATACTTATTTATGTATATTTATTAAATGTGTTATAAATATCTATAATTCATATTTTATTAAATTTTGTTTATTTTTGTTAATTTTTTGAATTAAATTATTTTTTTAGATTTATTTAATTATCATTCTATTATGTATTATTCAAGCAAAGTATTGTGAAATACTAAGAGATGGCAGTACCAGTGGCCTATATAAATATGGCTGAACACGTGCTTCACCTTTTTCAAGTAACACTCCGTCCTTTAGGTCCGTGGAAGCGTCAACTCTACTCCACGCAGTCTTTCCGATCACGAAGTCTAAATTCTCACGGCACCACAATGTCCGATTCGGCAGCGACGGGCTCGGCAAATTTAACCCAACGGTGGAGGGGCAGGGCGGTGTGCTGGGTGCGCAAAATAACGAGTTAAGATCGAAACAAACACAACGGAACACATGAAAGAAATAATACACGGGCGTTTGTAAAATAAAAGTAAATAATAATAGATTTATTGGAAATCAAGGAACTTGATAATAACAAAAATAATAAAAAGAAGTACGAAAAAGAAAAAAGAATAACAGATTGAATACAAAAAAAATTGATAGTTGACAGCGAAAAAAATGCGAAAAATTACGGTTTACCGTCGAGAAATGTGATACCATCTGAGACGGTTCGAACAACACAAAATTAATAAGCCTAGCGGCGGATCTCGAGTGAGATCAATCTCCGATGTTTTACAATATGCGCAGCTGTTCAAAATATAAACAAAAATAATTAATACTAATAATAACTAATTAATACTAAACTAATTAATACTAATAATACTAATTAATTCGAATTTGGCACGCGAAACGTAAAAGGTAGCGGAACTACCGAGTACGGAAACGCGGTAGACTGACGCGGCCTTACTTAATAACTAACGAAACCGGACTTTGCTAAATACGGTTCACAGACGCGATACGCTGACGCGAATTTTTAACGTGAGCGAGACGGACAACACAACACGGAATTACATCTACTTGAATCGACAGTCACACACACGCTACATAATTATAATACGCGGCACAATTCCCGCGCGCTATCTCTCTCGTACTTACGCCACACACACGGACGGCACAAACAGCTGATTACGTCCGCCGCGATCTCCCCGGTGTCTCAAACACGTTATACACGCCATTCCTATTTACGAACGCGGTACATTACACTCGCGGGTACGCCCGATTTCGCTCGCTCGATTTATCTTCACTGAGGCCTGAAAATCTCACCGAAACTACAAATTCGCGACAAGAATTCACTAAGAAAGTTTGGTCGACAGTGTTAGCTTATGCGTCGCGACCTTTGGCCAAAAAGGGACTCACCAAACGCGAGACACTAACTACCGAGCGAACGACCTCGCGACGCCACGGAATCCTCGCGAAATTCGCAGTTTGCGACAAGAAAAATATAGCGGCAATCTCATCGGTATTCTGTTCGCTCAGCGCAGCTTCTCTCTCTCTCTCTCTCTCTCTCTCTCTCTCTCTCTCTCTCTTTGACGGCAGGCGGGAGGCCGAATGTCCTTTCGTTTCGCCAAGGTTCCCGCCCTGCTCTGCCGTGGCCTCCTCTCCGCCCGTCGATCTTCCAAGCAACTCGATGAAGCGCCGACATACATTAAAAATCACGCTAATTAATTACAGGTTCTTAAAATCTATCCTATACCACTCGGGGAGATTTCGGCACTCGGTAGCTCTTATTTATCAAGGTAAGGATATTATTGTTGCGTTCCGCCCGTTCTTCGGGCCCATAAAACGGCAACGTTACAGTATATACTATATGTATACCAGCGCTAACATTTTCTTTGCTACATAAATAATGTTTATTTTTATTAATACATAATATATATATATTTAATTATTAATAAAAATAAACATTATTTATGTAGCGAAGAAAATGTTACGATTTCCTGAGAGATGCTTCAACAACCCAGCCTATTTCTTATGTAAAACGCTCTTGAGCCAGAGCTATCGGCGGCTCGGCCGCCAGCGGCTGGGCGGTAGTGGGGGAACAGGAGACATTGGGCGCGTTCAGCAGAACAAATTGCTTGGTAGCAATCGAACGTGATTGACTCTTACTTTTAGACCAACAAATCAACGTTAAGTGATGACTAGACGACAATTCAGCAGTTGTTCTGCTGAACGCGGCTATTGTCTCGGGAATCGGCCCGAAATGTGCAACTAATTCCGAGTGCTGCTATATACTATACTATAGACGTCGCTCGCGATATTTCAAGCCATAAATACAAATATTATGACTGCAACATTAGCCAATAAAATTAAATATTTAGGAATAGATAATAAATTCAAATAACACAAACACATTCTATAAACATTTTATAAATATTTGTTGAAAATATTAGAATATTCTTTCAATGTACTAAAACTACGTGGCAAGAAGCGATGCGATAGCCAATCAACGAATTAATGGTTTGGTAATTAATTGTGAAGAAAATGAATTAATTGGCGATAACTAATTTCACCAAAAGTAAGGTAAAAATATTTAGTGACAATATTAGTGTTAAAATTCATATTAATCAAATACATATCACATACATCAAATACATATTTGGTTCATACTCTCGGTGCCCATACAGCATGGAATATTCTGTGAATGTTCTACGAATATATACCATACCATAGATACTTTATGAATAAAACTTAAAATTGTATTATTTTTAACATAAAATAAAATAAATCGTAATAATTGTTAATTTATTAATTAATCATAATTAATTAATTGTCGAAATCCAGGGCGTGAGGGCTCTCACGGGGGTGAACGACTAGAGAGCAAATCCGACGCAAAGGAAAGCTCATATGGAGTCTGCCCCGAAACACGCATTAAATATAGCGGCGCACTTAGACGCCGCTACAAAAAGCAACCTCGGATGAAAGGGGAAGTCGCCAAGGCTAAATCAACTCCATCTGAGGTCACGCCAAAAACACAGGACAAGGGGGCACGACCTTCGGCTGACGCTGCAAAACGTGCCAGGCCAGAGCAAGGAACCCCCAGTCCTTTAGAAAATCACCAGGGCAAGAGACCGATCCAAGACTACGTGTCAAGGGTCGTATGCCCAGGCGACCAAAGAACTGGTCAGGATAGCTGTCATTATGAACAGCTACCCCGAGAAAAAGATAGGAGCTGAAGAGGAGAGCCTGATCAGCCAGGAAACTGATCAGAGGGCGTATCCTCGAATTGATGGGGAAGGAAAAAGCCCCTAACCTTACAAGCTCCTGGGTAAAAGATGGCGCACTCTTCGGATGTGCCGATGAATATTCAGAGGGATGGCTCAAAAGCCTCTCTTCTGACATAAAAATTGGGGAAACCTCTCTGTGTGTAATGCCAATCGACGAGTTGCAAAAGCGACATCGAATGGTGGTGCACATAGAGGAATCCGATATCACCACTGAGGAAACTCTGAAGTTCCTCAGATTACAAAATACGGGCCTGACAACCAGTGACTGGATTGTCACCAGGAGTAGCAAGAAAAGGGACTCCAAGAGTGCCCAATTTGCTTGCCTCGTTGGCGAGACGTCACTGAAAGCCATAAACACTGGTAATCCAGTGTGACGTTTTACACGTCCGTCATAAGGGCGAATACGCCCGGCCGAGGAGGACAATTCGCTTAACTCCGAGGGCCGGTTGTTCCAACTTCTTGGTAAGTTTATCCGTCAGTTATTTATTAATAAATATTAGTAATCTTTACTCAGTTGTTGGAATACCAAGTAAAATTACCTCTATCGTTATTACCAAGATGTAATTTTACTTGGTATTCCAACTATTGAGTAAGGATTACTGATATTTATTAATAAATAACTGACGGATAAATCTACCTAGAAGTTGGAACAACCGGCCCTTAGACACACATCCACAATAAAATGGGGACGCAACCCAAGAAAGATTAACTTGGATTGTTACAGAGAAAACCTGAAAGCCGAGCTACGAAAAGCCCCATTTAGATTCAACACCAAGGAAGACCTGGAAACAGCGGCAGGATTCCTGAGGGCCACCATCGTCGAAGCCTACGAGAACAACTGCCCAGCAAAGCCGAAGAATCACTCGATTAAAGTTCCCTGGTGGAACAAAGAGCTATCAAAGCTCAAATCAGAGGTGAGAAGGAAATTCTACAGAGCAAGAAGAACAGGCTCTGCAACACACTGGGAATTGTTTAGAAGCTCCCAGCGAAAATATAGCTGAGCGATAGTAATCGCCAAGCGCAAAAGCTGGAGAGATTTCTGTGAAAGCATAGAGAGTATCCCTGAAGCCTTCAGGCTAAACAGAATTCTCATTACAGAGAACCGCTCCCAACTGGGATGTCTTAAGCAT